GTTGCACCGGCCGTTGGGGTGGTAGATGGCAACTGGGTCGAGCAGTACGTCAAGGTACGCGGCCGCTTGGGTTTGCAGGAACCCCCCCACAGCCCTGTTATGCCGGCCCCCGACCGACAAGGGATGCCAACGATTAGAAGCTTGGATTCGGATGAGGCTGGGGACTGGGCCCGACTGCTCTTGTTTGGAAGCAAGGAGGTTCGCCCGGAGCGTCGAGTCTCGAGTCATTCTTGCAAGTGCACGTGCATCAGCTTTGCGACGAAGTTCGGGGCTAGCCCTGAGGAATTGCTTTTGCTGGGATATCATACTGGTGATTTTAAGATGCCTTTGACATATGGTCGGGATTCTGCCGCGCCTACTTTGATTCTGCTTAATAGAGTTCTCCTCGCCATACGACAGGGAACTTTCAAGCCTGATTGCACCAGGAGCGGCCGATTCGTGAAGCCTTGCTCAGGTGCTGTTGTTGAAATCAAAGATGAGGATACAGTGTTGCCTGAGGCTGAACCGTGCGAAGAGCCAGTTTCGTCTGAGGCTGCGACCACGGGCTCAGGCAGCAGCTCGGAGTCTTCTTCGGCGCCGGTTCAGGGTAAGCCTTCGTTTGCAAGGTGGGTTATCCCTGACCCACCGGAAGGAATGAGTTATTTCGAGCATACCAGATTAAAGACTTTGCATCTTGTGCAAGACGGACACACGAGAAGCTTCGCATGTGGCCGTTTCGTTGGGCCGCTGCATAGGAAGCTTACTGATCGTCCAGGTCCGGTGTACACCCGATGCAGGATGTGCGCAAAGATCGCGGAGGCATGATAGGTCAAAAGAAGTTCTTTTGCGGAGTGCGCATGTTCTTTCATGTGGCAGTCATGTACATGTCTTTTTTGCTGAAGCTTGTAGCCATGTTCTGTTGTGTGCGAGATGAGGGGCTCGAAAGAAGCCTCAGTGGGGTAGATCGGCATGTCAACCATCATAGAGAGTGAAGCCGCTTTCGAGCGGAGATGTCTGGAGATCAGAGGGGATGGTTCCCTAGTGGCGGGGATGGCAGGGCAGGGAGTGAAGACGTTCAGGTCTTTGGCCTTTGCTCTGGGCACGCCCCAGACCCCGCCGACGGAACTCGCCTTTGCTGATTTGACAAAGAAGGTCTTCGGCTCGGGTGACGGGGATCCTACAGTGGGTGAGCTTTCTTGTATTCGCCAGCTGCATTTCGAAGCGTCCACACTTGTCATTCAGACATACAGGGACATGGTGAGTCATGAGTCAACGGATGGAGCACCGATGAGGAAGCTCCCGCTTCCTGAGAAGAGAGCCCGTAAAGAGTCTCAGCAGGCGCGTCTGGCAGGTCTGGAGTTGGAAGGAGAGCTGGATCCAGCTTATCAGTTGGTCGATGCTTGCAACCACCAGCTCGAGCACTCTGTCATTTATTGGTTGGCTCCATCTAAGTGTCCTAAGAGAGAGCTTGAAGTCATTGCAGGGTTCAAGGAGAAACCTAGCGTGCTGCAATTTGAACAGAATACGGTGAAGCTCGGAGGACCCAGCACCACGATCGAGTGCGATGCTTCTGATGCTCTGAGGTGTCAGTGGGCTTGGCAGCGTAGGGGATTGGCATACGATCAGTGTCGCATGATTTCGTACAATGTTCATCAAAGGTGGGTGCAGAAGCTGCTTGATTGTCTTTCGATAGTTCCGCCACCGAACTTTGCAGCAGTGACTCTCTCGCAATGTGTGCGGTCAGACAAGGAGATGTTTCTTTTGATGTCGCAGGAGGGCCTTGCATCTTTCAAACAAGACGCTTCGGGGAAACTTCCTTTGGATGCAGTCATGAGCCGTTTGATGTATGATCAGCGCATCGGTCAGTTCTTGCTCCCTATGCAGAAAACTCAGGTGCAGAGGGTCCCGGGCGTGCCGTCTAAGGATACTGAGAAACCGGGACCTCCGGATGGTCCTCCACCCAAGGTCCCGAGAGTTGCCACTGAGAAGGCGAAGGCTAAGGCGAAGGCTCGTGGTGGTCCAAAGAACAAGCCGGCAAGTCTTGCGCAGTACGAGACCCGGACCAAGTTTGGTAATGCATGCTGGGGTTTTAATCTGGAGGATGGTTGCAGCAACAAGACTGAGAAGGATCCGAAGTCAGGTTGGATGAAGTGTGAGAAAGGGCTGCATGTCTGCGCGGCGTGTCACAAGCCGGGGCATTCCGTCCTTACGTGCAAGTCAGCAAAGAAGGAGTGACTAGCTCCTTTGCAGGCTGAGTGTCACTCCAAGCCAGTCGCGTCTTCTGCTGACAGAACAGCTGCCGGGGAAGCGTGCGATGCTACGCACTGTCGAGAGTCCGTTAAGCGGACTTCGAGCTTGAGTGGTGTTCCCTTGAGCGTGCATGTGAATGCAGTCGGCAGCTGTGCCGATGCCGAATTCCTTCGGGCTAAATTGCAACTTAAACGACGATCCGATCCAATATGTCATGGGAATCCCGTGTGCACTGGCACATCTGGGGTTAGTGCCGAGGCAAGCCGTGCCATTGAGATGGCAGTGCCTGCAACATCGGGTTTAGGGTTTTCTCCTAGGCACCCCCTCGCGAATGCCGATTCGGAGGGCCCCGAGACCCCTTTGGGTTTAGATCCTTCAGGAGCTGTGGCTACGAAGACAGTTGCTTCGTCGACCAAGGCGGAGGAGACACCTAACCGACCTGCCTCATCCGAGGCTATGGCTCGAGAGCTCCTACGCATATCCCGCTTCGATGCTGCCAGCTGTCTTCGCTTGTTGGACTTGGTACCTAAGGATAAGTCTTTGAGGACTTCACAAGCTCAGACCTCAGAGGGTGGAAAGCTTGGTTTCGGCTTTTATGTTCGCGCAGGGGAGGCCTGTGTGCTCAACAGCTGTTCCAACATGCCGATGGTCTGCCACTACTTGACATCTCTTGTTCGTGCAGTTGATCCGACGTTCGAGTTTGGAGCCTTACAGCTTCTTTTTAATGTCCAGTCGGGTTTTCATCTTGACAAGTTCAATGAAAAGGGTTCGCTCAACTTGATCATTCCGCTGACCGATTTCGTTGGCGGCCAGGTATGGACTCGCGATGAATCTGGCGATGTCACTTACGACCATAATGGGGTTAGTCTCAGGGGTCGCTTGATGGATGTTGCATCAGGCCCAGTCAAGCTTGATCCGTCGGTGCACCATGCAGTCATGCCTTGGCAAGGAAATAGGACAGTCCTTATCGCATACATGCCGTCGTTCTCGGAGCGACTTCCCACCGAGAGTCGATCTCTCCTATCTGAGCTGGGATTTGTTTTCCGCAATCTCAATTCAGGCGCCGCTGTCAAGCTCCGTGACATTCGCATGGTCACTCAGGGCCTTCCTGATCCAGGATCTACGCGACCCCTGACGGCCGAGGTACCGCTTGTTCTCGAGCTGTGCTCTGGGCACGCAGTGTTGTCTCGGGTTGCTGAGACTTTGGGTTTTCAGGCCTTGTCGATTGATAACAATTCTTCCAGGGCTCCTGGAAAACAGATCATGCGCCTTGATCTCGCTGACGCTGATAACATCGATTACCTCTGTGAGCTAGTTGAGTCCGAACGGAGTCGGATTGCTTTGATTTTCATTTCGCTTCCTTCAGGAACTGCAAGTGTTCATCGGGGCAAGCACATTGAAAAGTGGGTTCGACAAGGTTTCCAGTTGCCTTCTGCTCTTCGGAGTTCTGACTACCCCGATATGTTGCCCGGGCTCTCTGGGTCTGACCGCCGGCGAGTGGAAGAGGCTAACCAGCTGTACTTCGAAGTCGGGCGCCTGGTTCAATTTGCTTGTTCCTTAGGACTCCTTGTGGCTCTTGAGAACCCTGACAGCTCGCTCTTTTGGCAAACTTCGTTCTTTCGTGGTATTGAACAAGTTGCCAAGGGCTTTTTGACACGTTTCCATTTGTGCTGTCATGGTGGTGAGCGGCCACGTCTCTTGCGATTATGGGCTTCTCAGGATGTGTTCGCCCCCCTGGAGGCTAGGTGCGATGGCTCGCATCAGCATCTTCCTTGGAAACCCCGTCTCGTGGGAGGCCAACTGCGCTTCACTACGGCTGATGAGTCCACCTATCCGACCGCCCTGTGCCATCGGTTGCTGTCGCTGGTGGCGGTGCATTGTGGTTTGCCGCTTCACCTGCCAGAGTCGGCTTCTGGAATCCCACTCAGTCACAAAGCTACCAGGATTGCATTAGGCATTCAGCCACGTGGCAATGCGTTCGGTCCCCTAGTGGCTGAGTTTTCTCATTTTCATTCATGCTTCTGTCCTTCGTCGAAGCCGCATCTTGCCGATGCCTATTTGGCACAGCTGCCTAAAGGTTCTCGCATGGTCCGTAGGCAGGTTTTGAGGTCGGGGGAATTTTCTCAGGCCGTCGAACATTGCGAGCATTGCATCTGTCTTGAAGTGAACGATCCGAGATCGCACAGCGGTGTGTTGCCATCGGTTGAGCTTTGCAGCATAGGCATCCCTTGCGAACCGGATGAATTCATAAGAAGGGCCGTAGAAGTGGGTCACCCTCGCAGTCTTGATTTTCACCTGGAGGAGGAAGTCAGTAAGGCCGTGCGATCCAACTTTGTGGACGATGCATCGGAGCTGGCTCGCTTTAGGATTTCCTTTGTCAAGAAGTGGAGTGCACGTGCCCAGGAGCTTCAACCAGCTGAGGATAAACTTCATTCTGACATGCCTGATTATTTGTCCGAGGTGCTCCGTGGCAAGCGGCTCTTGTTATTCAAAGAGATGATGACAGCCGCGGGCTGCAGTGATGAATGATGCTCGATCGGCTGTCTCTCGAGTGTCGGATCTTTCACGAATCGGCTGTGCCGCCTTTCAAGAAAAAAGAGTGATTCCGATTGCATGTGCGTTCTGCAATACTGCATTTGTCTGCACATTTATATTCTCGTGCAATATATGTTTGATTGATTGATTTGAGAATGACTCTTTTCAATATTATATTCTTGCGAAAAGTAGCTTTAGCTATAAGTTATCCTTCTGAAACCTTGTCTTCGGACACGATGCCGAGTGCTCGACTCTTAGCTCTGGTTTCGAAGCAGATCCAGGATCATGAGTGGAAGTACATTCCTTGGAAGCTTCGGATGTCTCAGGAGCTTGCTGATCAGGCGTCCATGACCCGCCCTCATAAGCAGCCTCGTCTTGAGTCCCTCTTGTACGACGAGGTGCCGAGCCGTGAGCTCCCTTCGCAAGGAATGGGCAAGGCGTTGATGTCGGAGCTGCTTCAGCTTCAGGCCTTTGCGATCGCGTTGTGTGGCGGTGCACACCTCCATACCTTGAAGGAGTTTAATCGGCGTTTCTTGCGACGGTGTTTCGAAAAGTACCCAGCAGAGTCAAACTTGCGACCACCTTCGGTGGCTGAGGCGCAATATGCTGAGCAGCACTTGTGGTCACAAATCGCTACCTTGTACAATGAGGAGCGCTGGACCTTGGATGCGGCAATTCATGAAGTGGTGGTGTTGCGAAATGAGCTGCATTCTCAGCTCATGCCTCGCCCTATGATGCCCAAGTTGTCAGTGTTTGATCAGTTCCGGGGGCGGGGCAAGGGCAAAGGCACAAAAGGCAAAGGCGAAGGTAAAGGGGGCAAGGCAGGTAAGGAGGGCAAAGGTGCCAGATTGCCAACGCCATCCATGACGGTGCAGGGCTTGCGTGTCGGCTTGTATTACATGGCAGGCCAGCAGCGTCGCAACTTGTGCAAGGATTTCCAGTTGGGTAAGTGCACGCGTGGTAAGAACTGCAGGTTCGCGCATGTGTGTGGGGTTATGGATGCCAATGATCGTTTGTGCCTGGGTGACCATGACCCTTCACAGCATAAGAAAACGCCGCATTAGGGATGCGGGGCTTCGGACTTTGTGGGCTCCTTGGGGTTGGAGGCGACCTCGTCATCCCCCTCATCTGGGATAACAGTTACGGTGCCCACTTTTTCGGCGAGTAAGTCCCCTATGGCCCGGGAGGAGTGTTCTTTGGATTCGGATTCGGATGTAGTCATGATCGGTTCGGAATCTTCTGGGGTGATTCCAACTTCGCAAGCTTTGGATCCGCAGGTGCTTTTGCAGCCTGCTGACATGCAGCGTGTGGATGGCACCGAGGGTTTGGAGCCCTTGTGTTGCGCGACTCTCAGGCTGCTTCAGCAAGCTTGTTTTCCACCTTCGACGTCGGCTAGGGGTGCATGTTTGCAGGATAGTGCTGTATCTTCTGGCTACTGGAATTTTGGTGTGTGTATCTCGGACAAGAGTGCGCTTACTGCTGTGACGCGGTCGATGCGGTCGTTCCTCTTGGAACTCAATAGATTATTGGTGCGTGTATGGCCTTCTGGACAGTGGAACACTGTCTGCATCAGTAAAAATTGTTTTTCGCAGCCCCATAGGGATTTAGCAAATTTGCCAGGGTCCCTGAATTATGTTTTGGGTTTAGGCCCTTTCACTGGTGGCCAGTTATGGCTTCAGGACGCTGACGGCAAGGATTTTCGTTTTGTGCCGGAGGTCGGTAAGCAGCTGCCGGGCAGGCTATTGCCCATCAATTGCAGTCCATTGTCATTTGATGGTTCGTTGTGGCATGGATCAACAGACTGGGTTGGCGAGCGCTGGGTAGTGATCGCCTACTCTCTTCCGGAGGTTCCCGAGGGTGTTCTTGAGGGCTTAGGTTTCCCGCAGGGGGATTCGGTTGCTGTCACACCAGCACAGGCGGACTCGTCGCTTCCAAGCCTTGCAGATGCCATTCCATCGGTTTTGCCAGATGCGACGATTTTCTTTTTGGACATCTGTTCTGGAAGGAATGCTCCCTTGTGTGCGGCCGCTCGCCGGCTGGGGATCCCTTCGATTCGCATTGATCTGCTGTTGTGTGCCGAACATGACTTGCTAGATTTGGCCTTTTACGAGAGGTTGTTGCGCTTGTGTTTTTCTGGCCGCATCCGCATGGCTCATGGAAGTCCTCCATGCTGTGAGTACAGTCGCTTAAAGTTGCGGCCGGGGGGACCGCCACCTTGTCGTAGCCCCGAATTTGTGCAGGGGTTACCGGGCAATGATGAGGCTGCGCAGCTCCGGGTGCAGCAAAGTGCAACCATCTTGACTCGTGTGGTCATCTTGCTTTTGGCAACATATCAGGCCGGAGGGCACGTGTCGTTGGAGCAGCCTAGAAACTGCATGTCTTGGGAGGAACCGGTTGTGCAGGGCTATCTGTTGGAAGTCTCCGCAGATGTAGTTGTGGTTGCGGGTTGTGAATATGGCATGGATCTTGAGAAGCACTGGGTCTTTGCATCGTCGTGGCGACCATTGCAGTCCTTGGCATCTGTATGCAAGCATCCACGTGACACCCATGCCAGTTATGCCGGCGTTCTTGACTCGCAGTCGGGTGAGTTTGCTTCGCGGAAAACTGCTGAGTTTCCCGCTAAGTTGGCAACAGCTTATGCGGAGGCAATTTCACCGTTGTTTGCGGATCGGACAGAGCCTCCCACTTCGATAGCTGAGGCGGCGTTGGATGTTTCCTTTGCTCAGGCATTTTCTTCAATCCCTGTTCGGAAGTTGGACTCCTTTCCGCGTGCAGCACAAGACGGTGGTGGCATTTACTCAGTGCCGGACTGGGCGGCTCCTCCGTCGAACACTCCGGATGTTTTCCGCAGCCTGCGGGCTGACTTGCTGCAATTCTTTGCGCAGGATCGCACTCCTGTCCGCTTGCGCCAAAATGTGGCAAACAAGGATCACTCCCCTCTTTTTACGCCGGATCAGGTTGAGGCCTTGCGGGCGATTTGGGTTAAATGGTTTAGGTCCCAAGGGTTTACACAGGATATTTCTTGGGGTGTTGCAACCAATCAGCCATACAGTCTTGAGGCCTTGCATTTGCTTGCTCAGGCCCTGAAAGACCGCGATGTTCACTTGTGGGATGCTTTGAAAGAGGGGGTTCCGATTGGTGTCGATGGCGATATCAAGCCGAGTAATTGCTTCATTCCACTCGGGGTGTCGCATCAAGATGTTTCAGACGAGGATTTTAAAGTTTGTTCGGGGCACTGGCCTGGTGCCGAGGAGGATCCGGAATTGCTTGAGGAATTGATGGAGGCCGAGCTGGCTGCGGGATATGTTGAGGAATTGCCTTCGCTTGAGGCGGCTCGTGCGAGATGGGCCCGTGTGGCCATCGGCAAAGCTAACATTATAAAGTCTGAGGGCAAATCTCCCCGGTTGATCATTGACCCTTCTGTCTCTGGGACGAACGGAGCTTGCGTTATCCCGGAGCGCTTCTTGCTTCCAGGTTTGGGGGACGTGCAGCATGGGTACCCTGTCAGGGGTTGTGCTGATGAGGTTTCAGCGGTATCGCTGGATATTTCTGCGGCTCATAAAACATCCAGACTTAAAGAAAAGGACCGTGGTTTAATGGGAATAAAGGTTCGCAACCGTTACTTCTTTTACCGCGTCGCGCCGTTTGGCGCATCTTGTTCTGCTCACTGGTGGCAGCGCCTTGCTGGGTTTTGGGTACGTGTGGCACATCGCATAGTGTACGTGAGCCACTTGCTGGTCATGTACGTGGACGATGCTATGCTTTGGCAAGCGGCAGGGGCCATTGACATGTCGGCAGTCTTGCTGTTGTCTTTCTGCCAGGCTTTCGGGTATCCGATATCATGGCGAAAATTGCAGTTAGGACCAACCATTGTTTATATCGGTTGGCAGATTCATTTTCGGGCTGGGGCATTTTGCTTGCCGTTGGAGAAGATCGCTAAACTTTTGAAGGCGATTGACAAGGTTCTGCTCCCGCCCCACTTTGATCGTCGTGACTTGGAGTCTTTGATTGGCCTTCTCCATTGGGTCTTGCAGATGGCGCCTGAGCTTCGCCCATGGCTCTGCTCCTTGTATCAGGATAAGGCACGGCCACTGGGCACGAATTTTTCCTTGACTCAAACCGTTTGGCAACAGCTTCCCACTTACCTTGATAAGGATTTGTGTTTTGCGTCGACCCCTCCGGGTACAGCCTTCCGTTGTGGCAGCAAGTTGTTGAGTGTCCGGCACGTGGATATACATTCAATCGATGATCTTAGGTTGGTGCGCAATACTGGCAAGCGCTTGTGGGCGCGAATTGCGGACCCGACTACAGGCAAGAGGAAGCTTTCGCAGTTGAGCCGGCAATTTTTGCACGAGTGGAAGTGTTTTTGCTTGCGACCGCCTATGATGCGCTCATTGCAGCCGCCTACGTTTGTGCCCGCTGTGGAGATGGCAGCAGACGCGTGTGCCAGCGGGGTTTCCATAGGCATAGGTGGTTGGGTGAAGTTCCCGGGACAGGATTGTTTGTGGTTTTCGGAAAGACTTACAGTGCAGGATTTCCTTGATCGCAGTGTGCCGGTGGACTCGGATGCTAATCATGACATTGTCTCGTATGAGACCTTGGCTCAGGTGGGGCTTGTGCGTCTGTTTGCATCGGCATGTGTTGGGGGCCGTATGCGTTTGCAGCTTCCGGCGTTTACAGACAATTCAGGCACTGAGGCAGCTTGCAATAAGATGTTCACGACGGTCCAACCCTTGGCACATTTTGTCCAACGCTTGGCTACAGTCGCATGGCAGTCTGCCATCACGCTTGACGCGACACATGTGAGTGGTTGTCACAATGATGATGCAGATGTGCTTAGCAGGTGGGATGGTTGTTCCGTGCTGCCAGATCGCTTTCAGCTTAGTTACCGTGTGGACTGTTCCATGCCACTCTTGTGGGATGGCGCGAAGGATGTGCGAATTTTCCCGGATGGTGCCTTTTTGTTGTGGCAGCCGCCGCTGCGGGCGCAATCTTGAAACTGGTGCTGCGGGGTTGTGCGGCTGGTTGGACCCCATCGGTGCGCGGTCGGCTGCCTTCCCCCGGTGGTGCGCGTGCCTTCCATTTTCCGCCGCATGATGTCCTGCGAAAGTCCCTGCACACGATGGCATGGTTGGCGGCGCTAGTGCCGCCCGGCGTCTGGTTTGTGCTTTGAGCTTCGCAGGCATAGATGAGTGGCGTTTCCGCCACGGGTGCCAAAACGTGTAGCCTGGCTCACTTGTGGGTCTTGGGTAGTGAATGCGATCCAGTCTTCCTCTTTTGGCAGTTGTGGTTGGGCCTTGCTTCTGTACACACATCTTTCTGATGCATCGTTGTTCTATGCATGACGACAAGCTGTGTGTTCTACCGCCAAAAAGGGGAAGACTGATCCGAGTGTGATGCGAGGGTCTGCTTTGTAGACTGGTCCGAGTATGATGCGTGGGTCCACTATGTAATGCACTGTATACTGTATACTTTGCTGTTGCTCCGTTAGGCTTCTCCTGGGAATACTTGTTGTTCTGTGATCACGCTTTGCGATAGGAGAGTTTGCCAAGTGCGACTTGCAAACCAAAACCTTTTGACCGCGGTGGCTTAGTACGAAATCCTTAGAACTGCGAGGTCTTGTGAACCGGCCCGAGAGCACCCCTCGCTTGTTTTTTGTGCTAGCTCAAACATGTTTTAAGATTTCGCTCTAGCTTCCGCTTGATGCTTGCGAATTATATGTTGCCATACTAAGCCACCAGCGGCTCGAACATCGGAGAGTGGAGTCGAAAGCTCCCTCCCTCCCGCCCGAGCTTTCGTTCCGGGGATTTGTATTCCTTTTGGTTCATTCTTACACTTCTTGCGGTTTCTGGCGTTGCATGGTGTTCCTGGATGAGCTCGTAGCTGAGTCAACGATTATCACTTGAGGTGCGTGTGCGCTTGGTCCCTGTTGTGTACAGGACTGCGGGCCTTGCTTCTGTACACACATCTTTCTGATGCATCGTTGTTCTATGCATGACGACAAGCTGTGTGTTCTACCGCCAAAAAGGGGAAGACTGATCCGAGTGTGATGCGAGGGTCTGCTTTGTAGACTGGTCCGAGTATGATGCGTGGGTCCACTATGTAATGCACTGTATACTGTATACTTTGCTGTTGCTCCGTTAGGCTTCTCCTGGGAATACTTGTTGTTCTGTGATCACGCTTTGCGATAGGAGAGTTTGCCAAGTGCGACTTGCAAACCAAAACCTTTTGACCGCGGTGGCTTAGTACGAAATCCTTAGAACTGCGAGGTCTTGTGAACCGGCCCGAGAGCACCCCTCGCTTGTTTTTTGTGCTAGCTCAAACATGTTTTAAGATTTCGCTCTAGCTTCCGCTTGATGCTTGCGAATTATATGTTGCCATACTAAGCCACCAGCGGCTCGAACATCGGAGAGTGGAGTCGAAAGCTTCATGTTTTCATGGGAGACAAAGCGATTACCAGCATGTGGCGTTTTTGCTTGCCATTGGGCTTTTTATTGATTTCTGCGACAGTCAGTACTTTTTACCTTCTGGATGTAACTATAGCTTGTTTAGCCTTGATCACCCTCAAGGGAGGGTGCATGGACCGTGGCTCCCTCGGGGGGGCGTCATATGCAGCCGGATTCTGAATCCGAGACCAGTGCCGGTGGCTCTGTGGTGCACAGGGAAGATTTGCGGTTGTTAGAAGAGTCCTTTCAAGATCAGCTGGCTGCACTTCAGTTGCGTGTGACGACTGTGGAGAGCCTTCTGCGTCCTGACCAATTGAGCGAGGGTTTTCCAGCTGCTGCTAGTGTTTCGAGTGCTGGATCAGAGTTTGCGCCAAGCCTGGAGGATCTTGTGGCCGCTTATCCGGGAGTCGTCCCGTGTGTGTGGGGCCTTTTGCAAGCTTCAGATCGCCGGGCCCTGCTCGCAGCTTCTTGGTACTTGCATACAGGCGTTCGCCGCGAGTTGCTTAAGGCAGCTTTTTTGCACGGATGGCCTCAACCCTCGCCGACCCTAACCACAAGCCAACCAATGTTCCCAAGTGTGCGTCAGTGGATATACCTGTGGTTTCATTAGAGCAAACCGCCGGCCAACGCTCTGATAAACTTGTGTCTGTAGACGTTGCGGAAGGAGGGCCCAAAGCTTCGGAGCCTCTCTCGGCATCTTTCTTGGCGCATTTAGATTCGCTGCATTGCGAGACTTCCGATGCACGTGGACAACATGACGTAGTTCCCGCAAGTGTTCCAGTGGTTTGTGTGGCTAGGCGGTTTCGGAAGCGTGTGCTCCCAGATGATTCGTTGCCGATCATACAGGAGTCAGAACACACGTCGGAAGCTTCTTGGCAAGTCGTGCAAGGTTTTGGCTCAGCACCTATTGCCTTTTCAGGTGTTATGCCTTTGCAGGCTAAGGCTCCGCCCCCAGCTCCGCCTATGCATCCGGTGTGTCGTGTATCGCATCAGGCCTCGCGGTCTATCAACATGTTCGCGATTCGGCCTCGGGCTTTTCCGGCTCATGTTGACGATTTGCCGCTGCCACGGCCTGTGCATCCCTCTAGGGGTCATCCTGTTGGGTTTAGCCATGGGTCACATAGTGTGTTGCCCTTGCCCCGGCCCTCTTTCCAGCATAGGTCCTCTTACCCCGGGTTTCCCAGTTTAGAGGACTTTGAAAGTGCTAGCGCCTCCGTTCCGATTGCAGGTCCCGCTTTTCTGGAAACTCACAGGTCTCCCGCTGCAGGTGTGCACTTTGAGGTACCCGATACTGGACTGAGGGTCCATGGTGTGAGCGGTTCGGAGGCTCTGGTTCCTGGGTTGTGTATGGTGTCGCAGGCTGCAATTCCGCAGTCGGTCAAGCGATCGCGTGTGACGACCAGGCAGTCTGACATTCATGCGGGCAATTGGGCACGCGTTTTTGTGTTGTGGGCTATTGTAGTGGAGTTGCTGCATCCCTTTTCCGAGATCCTTCAACAGGCGAAGTCATCTTTGAATTCTGAGCATATCCTTCGTGCTTTGCTTGCCAGGGTGTCTGACACCACGGCGTTGCGATACTTGAAGGTGATCCAAAGTTTTCTTGAGACTTGTGTGGAGTTGGGAATAAATTTGCAGGCTATGTCAGCTGTGCAGGTCATTGATGCGGTTTGTGCACTGCAATCGGAACCGTCTTTGCAAATTCACTCAACCAATACTCTTAAGGCATTGCGATGGCTGACTAAGGTATTGCAGCTTGATTGGTGTGTGCATTCGCCTCTGTTGCAATTCTTCGATGGCCCCAAGGATCGTCAGCGGAAGGAGGCTTTGCCATTCCCGCTTCAGTTTGCCGCCTTTTTGGAGGGCGTATTGCGTAGCGCCTCTAACTCTAACTCTTTAGCTACCCGAGCTTTCGCGGGGGGTGTGTTACTGCTCTTGATGTCATCTCTCCGCTTCAGTGATGCCTCGCACGTGGAGTGGCGGAGTCTGAGCATGGATGGCTTTGATTTGCGTGGTCTGAGCACTCGGACTAAGACTTCTTCTAATGGCATGCCTTTTGCAGCTACTGGGCTGGGGTTTTTGGGATGCCCGGATACCCCTATGCAGGCTTGGGTTCCGCATTACCTTTGGGTGCTTGGGGTTTTGTGGGATGAGATGTGCCGGCAGTTTGGGGAAATGTTTTGCCCGGACACGCTGTTCTTTCTTTGGGATGCAAAGGAGCCGGCGTTCATGCCCATGACGTATGCCCAGGCTCTGTATCGCTTGCGTAAGTTGCTGGATGTGTGTTTTCCAGGCGGCGCGTCCGCTAGCTATACTCTTCATTCGGCCAAAGCTACTATGCTGTCGTGGTGCGTTGAGGCCTTGATTGCCAAACATGTTGCACAGGTGCAAGGGCATCACTCTGGCGACGTCCAGCGTAAATATGCTCGGGACGATACTTTCCTGGCCTTGTTTGCACAGCGCACTGTGATGCGCAGGCTGTTGGCGGGCTGGTCTCCGTCGGTGCCGATCGCTCGGGGTGCCCAGCGACCCTTGCCGAACGCTCCATTGCAGCCAGTGGCTAGTTTGTCGGTGGCGGCTTCGCATCCTTATTTCGAGTATCATAATGCCGATGCTAGTTTGCTTGAGTCGTCCGTTACGATGCCCCAAATTCCCTTGGCGGGACCGGTTTGTGGATCTGACGCTACACCTGTACCAGCAGAGTCTCTTGCAAAGGCTCCAGTTTCGAGGGATGCGAAATCTGTCCAGCTCTCGGATCAGGCGGCCAACGGGGTCGTCGCGGATGCCGTGCCTGTGGCGCGCGAGAACTCCGATTTTTCTTCATCTGAGGAAGAGGAAGTTGCTGAGCCGGAGCTCGGTGACGCGGACGAGGTTGCTTGGGTGCGATCTGGCAAGGGCGTTTATCACGCAGCTATTGGGCATGCCACGGGGTCTATGGGTGTGCGAGCAGCATGTGGCACCTTTTTGCTGGATCCAACAGTATCCGTGGAGCCGCCCCCAGCGGCTAGGTTGTGCCGTAAAGCTGCATGTGTGCGGTGTCGGTTAGTGTAGCTTTGCCGGGGTGGCCGGTCCCTGTTGGAGTGACTCGGGGCTTGCATTCTTGTGAGCAGGTTTTGCGCTTGTTGAGTCTCACGTCACCAACTGCGTGTTGGAGCTCACAGGTTTTTGGCTGCTTCATGATTCGCATTTGCGCAGTCTTCCTGACTGATTGGGCAGCTCCTTGGTGGTGCTGCGTGTTAGCTTGCGCGGCTGGGCAAAGCCGTTTTCCTTAGGACGCGGTGTGGGTACACTTGTCATGTGCCCATGGCAGATACACCGTTCGTCGGTCGTAGCGCAGCACATGCGGCTGATTGCGTTCCGAGGGTGCGCTAAAATCGCGTGTGCTTCTGAGATTTGCAAGGGTCTTTGGCAGTTCAGGTGCATGTGACATGTCACTGTTTATGTTGCAGGTTTTTGAACTTTTGTGCATGAGTGTATTGTGCAGTTTTGGGTCGCTTGTCTGTGGCTCGATCATGTCTAGGTCCATGGGGCATCGATTGTAGGTGGCACCATGCGCGTTGTGGTCATATTACGAGTGCGGCTTGAAACATGTTTTCCTTGTTTTTGGAATGCAAATCAGTTCTATTGCTACCTTGGGACGATGTTGTGATCATCTGTCCTTACCACTACTGTAGAATTTATTTGCTAGAGCTGTCATCATCATGGAGGATCCGACTTTCCCGGTGGATGGTGCAGGTATGCCTGATTCTTGGGCAATACCAGCGTCGGTTGGCCTTGAGGGCTCTGATCCGCTTGGTGCCGCGTTGACAACCGGGCCGTCTGTATCGCCAGGACTTGTAGCCGGCAGTGGCGCTAGCATGCAACAGTTGCTAAGCAAGCATCAGATCCCGGCGGCTCTTCACGAGACCCTTTTGGAGTTTTCTTCTGCTGAGTTCGGCCTTGTTGCAACATCGTTGGAGGATTTGAATGGGTTCATGAACACTTCACTTGAAATCCCAACCACTCCTTCGCCAGCGCTGACGACAGCTAGGCTTCGCATGTTGTGGAAGGAGTGTAATGCTCTGGCTTTGGCGCCTGCGGTGGTGCCGCAGCCGACCCAGGTTGTGAGTGAGGGTGGTTCGGACTCGGGTTGGACCGAGGTTTTCCCTAAGAAGGTTTCTTCCGCCAGGGTTTTCGAGATGGTGCGTCAGTTTAAGAGTCGTTATCCTTCTGAAACCTTGTCTTCGGATACGATGCCGAGTGCTCGACTCTTAGCTCTGGTTTCGAAGCAGATCCAGGATCATGAGTGGAAGTACATTCCTTGGAAGCTTCGGATGTCTCAGGAGCTTGCTGATCAGGCGTCCATGACCCGCCCTCATAAGCAGCCTCGTCTTGAGTCCCTCTTGTACGACGAGGTGCCGAGCCGTGAGCTCCCTTCGCAAGGAATGGGCAAGGCGTTGATGTCGGAGCTTCTTCAGCTTCAGGCCTTTGCGATCGCGTTGTGTGGCGGTGCACACCTCCATACCTTGAAGGAGTTTAATCGGCGTTTCTTGCGACGGTGTTTCGAAAAGTACCCAGCAGAGTCAAACTTGCGACCACCTTCGGTGGCTGAGGCGCAATATGCTGAGCAGCACTTGTGGTCACAAATCGCTACCTTGTACAATGAGGAGCACTGGACCTTGGATGCGGTAATTCATGAAGTGGTGGTGTTGCGAAATGAGCTGCATTCTCAGCTCATGCCTCGCCCTATGATGCCCAAGTTGTCAGTGTTTGATCAGTTCCGGGGGCGGGGCAAGGGCAAAGGCACAAAAGGCAACGGCGAAGGTAAAGGGGGCAAGGCAGGTAAGGAGGGCAAAGGTGCCAGATTGCCAACGCCATCCATGACGGTGCAGGGCTTGCGTGTCGGCTTGTATTACATGGCAGGCCAGCAGCGTCGCAACTTGTGCAAGGATTTCCAGTTGGGTAAGTGCACACGTGGTAAGAACTGCAGGTTCGCGCATGTGTGTGGGGTTATGGATGCCAATGATCGTTTGTGCCTGGGTGACCATGACCCTTCACAGCATAAGAAAACGCCGCATTAGGGATGCGGGGCTTCGGACTTTGTGGGCTCCTTGGGGTTGGAGGCGACCTCGTCATCCCCCTCATCTGGGATAACAGTTACGGTGCCCATTTTTTCGGCGAGTAAGTCCCCTATGGCCCGGGAGGAGTGTTCTTTGGATTCGGATTCGGATGTAGTCATGATCGGTTCGGAATCTTCTGGGGTGATTCCAACTTCGCAAGCTTTGGATCCGCAGGTGCTTTTGCAGTCTGCTGACATGCAGCGTGTGGATGGCACCGAGGGTTTGGAGCCCTTGTGTTGCGCGACTCTCAGGCTGCTTCAGCAAGCTTGTTTTCCACCTTCGACGTCGGCTAGGGGTGCATGTTTGCAGGATAGTGCTGTATCTTCTGGCTACTGGAATTTTGGTGTGTGTATCTCGGACAAGAGTGCGCTTACTGCTGTGACGCGGTCGATGCGGTCGTTCCTCTTGGAACTCAATAGATTATTGGTGCGTGTATGGCCTTCTGGACAGTGGAACACTGTCTGCATCAGTAAAAATTGTTTTTCGCAGCCCCATAGGGATTTAGCAAAATTTGCCAGGGTCCCTGAATTATGTTTTGGGTTTAGGCCCTTTCACTGGTGGCCAGTTATGGCTTCAGGACGCTGACGGCAAGGATTTTCGTTTTGTGCCGGAGGTCGGTAAGCAGCTGCCGGGCAGGCTATTGCCCATCAATTGCAGTCCATTGTCATTTGATGGTTCGTTGTGGCATGGATCAACAGACTGGGTTGGCGAGCGCTGGGTAGTGATCGTGATCGCTTACTCTCTTCCGGAGGTTCCCGAGGGTGTTCTTGAGGGCTTAGGTTTCCCGCAGGGGGATTCGGTTGCTGTCACACCAGCACAGGCGGACTCGTCGCTTCCAAGCCTTGCAGATGCCATTCCATCGGTTTTGCCAGATGCGACGATTTTCTTTTTGGACATCTGTTCTGGAAGGAATGCTCCCTTGTGTGCGGCCGCTCGCCGGCTGGGGATCCCTTCGATTCGCATTGATCTGCTGTTGTGTGCCGAACATGACTTGCTAGATTTGGCCTTTTACGAGAGGTTGTTGCGCTTGTGTTTTTCTGGCCGCATCCGCATGGCTCATGGAAGTCCTCCATGCTGTGAGTACAGTCGCTTAAAGTTGCGGCCGGGGGGACCGCCGCCTTGTCGTAGCCCCGAATTTCTGCAGGGGTTACCGGGCAATGATGAGGCTGCGCAGCTCCGGGTTCAGCAAAGTGCAACCATCTTGACTCGTGTGGTCATGTTGCTTTTGGCAACATATCAGGCCGGAGGGCACGTGTCGTTGGAGCAGCCTAGAAACTGCATGTCTTGGGAGGAACCGGTTGTGCAGGGCTATCTGTTGGAAGTCTCCGCAGATGTAGTTGTGGTTGCGGGTTGTGAATATGGCATGGATCTTGAGAAGCACTGGGTCTTTGCATCGTCGTGGCGACCATTGCAGTCCTTGGCATCTGTATGCAAGCATCCACGTGGCACCCATGCCAGTTATGCCGGCGTTCTTGACTCGCAGTCGGGTGAGTTTGCTTCGCGGAAAACTGCTGAGTTTCCCGCTAAGTTGGCAACAGCTTATGCGGAGGCAATTTCACCGTTGTTTGCGGATCGGACAGAGCCTCCCACTTCGATAGCTGAGGCGGCGTTGGATGTTTCCTTTGCTCAGGCATTTTCTTCAATCCCTGTTCGGAAGTTGGACTCCTTTCCGCGTGCGGCACAAGACGGTGGTGGCATTTACTCAGTGCCGGACTGGGCGGCTCCTCCGTCGAACATTCCGGATGTTTTCCGCAGCCTGCGGGCTGACTTGCTGCAATTCTTTGCGCAGGATCGCACTCCTGTCCGCTTGCGCCAAAATGTGGCAAACAAGGATCACTCCCCTCTTTTTACGCCGGATCAGGTTGAGGCCTTGCGGGCGATTTGGGTTAAATGGTTTAGGTCCCAAGGGTTTACACAGGATATTTCTTGGGATGTTGCAACCAATCAGCCATACAGTCTTGAGGCCTTGCATTTGCTTGCTCAGGCCCTGAAAGACCGCGATGTTCACTTGTGGGATGCTTTGAAAGAGGGGGTTCCGATTGGTGTCGATGGCGATATCAAGCCGAGTAATTGCTTCATTCCACTCGGGGTGTCGCATCAAGATGTTTCAGACGAGGATTTTAAAATTTGTTCGGGGCACTGGCCTGGTGCCGAGGAGGATCCGGAATTGCTTGAGGAATTGATGGAGGCCGAGCTGGCTGCGGGATATGTTGAGGAATTGCCTTCGCTTGAGGCGGCTCGTGCGAGATGGGCCCGTGTGGCCATCGGCAAAGCTAACATTATAAAGTCTGAGGGCAAATCTCCCCGGTTGATCATTGACCCTTCTGTCTCTGGGACGAACGGAGCTTGCGTTATCCCGGAGCGCTTCTTGCTTCCAGGTTTGGGGGACGTGCAGCATGGGTACCCTGTCAGGGGTTGTGCTGATGAGGTTTCAGCGGTATCGCTGGATATTTCTGCGGCTCATAAAACATCCAGACTTAAAGAAAAGGACCGTGGTTTAATGGGAATAAAGGTTCGCAACCGTTACTTCTTTTACCGCGTCGCGCCGTTTGGCGCATCTTGTTCTGCTCACTGGTGGCAGCGCCTTGCTGGGTTTTGGGTACGTGTGGCACATCGCATAGTGTACGTGAGCCACTTGCTGGTCATGTACGTGGACGATGCTATGCTTTGGCAAGCGGCAGGGGCCATTGACATGTCGGCAGTCTTGCTGTTGTCTTTCTGCCAGGCTTTCGGGTATCCGATATCATGGCGAAAATTGCAGTTAGGACCAACCATTGTTTATATCGGTTGGCAGATTCATTTTCGTGCTGGGGCATTTTGCTTGCCGTTGGAGAAGATCGCTAAACTTTTGAAGGCGATTGACAAGGTTCTGCTCCCGCCCCACTTTGATCGCCGTGACTTGGAGTCTTTGATTGGCCTTCTCCATTGGGTCTTGCAGATGGCGCCTGAGCTTCGCCCATGGCTCTGCTCCTTGTATCAGGATAAGGCACGGCCACTGGGCACGAATTTTTCTTTGACTCAAACCGTTTGGCAACAGCTTCCCACTTACCTTGATAAGGATTTGTGTTTTGCGTCGACCCCTCCGGGTACAGCCATCCGTTGTGGCAGCAAGTTGTTGAGCGTCCGGCACGTGGATATACATTCAATCGATGATCTTAGGTTGGTGCGCAATACTGGCAAGCGCTTGTGGGCGCGAATTGCGGACCCGACTACAGGCAAGAGGAAGCTTTCGCAGTTGAGCCGGCAATTTTTGCACGAGTGGAAGTGTTTCTGCTTGCGACCGCCTATGATGCGCTCATTGCAGCCGCCTACGTTTGTGCCCGCTGTGGAGATGGCAGCAGACGCGTGTGCCAGCGGGGTTTCCATAGGCATAGGTGGTTGGGTGAAGTTCCCGGGACAGGATTGTTTGTGGTTTTCGGAAAGACTTACAGTGCAGGATTTCCTTGATCGCAGTGTGCCGGTGGACTCGGATGCTAATCATGACATTGTCTCGTATGAGACCTTGGCTCAGGTGGGGCTTGTGCGTCTGTTTGCATCGGCATGTGTTGGGGGCCGTATGCGTTTGCAGCTTCCGGCGTTTACAGACAATTCAGGCACTGAGGCAGCTTGCAATAAGATGTTCACGACGGTCCAACCCTTGGCACATTTTGTCCAACGCTTGGCTACAGTCGCATGGCAGTCTGCCATCACGCTTGACGCGACACATGTGAGTGGTTGTCACAATGATGATGCAGATATGCTTAGCAGGTGGGATGGTTGCTCCGGGCTGCCAGATCGCTTTCAGCTTAGTTACCGTGTGGACTGTTCCATGCCACTCTTGTGGGATGGCGCGAAGGATGTGCGAATTTTCCCGGATGGTGCCTTTTTGTTGTGGCAGCCGCCGCTGCGGGCGCAATCTTGAAACTGGTGCTGCGGGGTTGTGCGGCTGGTTGGACCCCATCGGTGCGCGGTCGGCTTTGCCTTCCCCCGGTGGTGCGCGTGCCTTCCATTTTCCGCCGCATGATGTCCTGCGAAAGTCCCTGCACACGATGGCATGGTTGGCGGCGCTAGTGCCGCCCGGCGTCTGGTTTGTGCTCTGAGCTTCGCAGGCATAGATGAGTGGCGTTTCCGCCACGGGTGCCAAAACGTGTAGCCTGGCTCACTTGTGGGTCTTGGGTAGTGAATGCGATCCAGTCTTCCTCTTTTGGCAGTTGTGGTTGGGCCTTGCTTCTGTACACACATCTTTCTGATGCATCGTTGTTCTATGCATGACGACAAGCTGTGTGTTCTACCGCCAAAAGGGGAAGACTGATCCGAGTGTGATGCGAGGGTCTGCTCTGTAGACTGGTCCGAGTATGATGCGTGGGTCCACTATGTAATGCACTGTATACTGTATACTTTGCTGTTGCTCCGTTAGGCTTCTCCTGGGAATGCTTGTTGTTCTGTGATCACGCTTTGCGATAGGAGAGTTTGCCAAGTGCGACTTGCAAACCAAAACCTTTTGACCGCGGTGGCTTAGTACGAAATCCTTAGAACGTTTTTTGTGCTAGCTCAAACATGTTTTAAGATTTCGCTCTAGCTTCCGCTTGATGCTTGCGAATTATATGTTGCCATACTAAGCCACCAGCGGCTCGAACATCGGAGAGTGGAGTCGAAAGCTCCCTCCCTCCCGCCCGAGCTTTCGTTCCGGGGATTTGTATTCCTTTTGGTTCATTCTTGCACTTCTTGCGGTTTCTGGCGTTGCATGGTGTCCCTGGATGAGCTCGTAGCTGAGTCAACGATTATCACTTGAGGTGCGTGTGCGCTTGGTCCCTGTTGTGTACAGGACTGCGGGCCTTGCTTCTGTACACACATCTTTCTGATGCATCGTTGTTCTATGCATGACGACAAGCTGTGTGTTCTACCGCCAAAAGGGGAAGACTGATCCGAGTGTGATGCGAGGGTCTGCTCTGTAGACTGGTCCGAGTATGATGCGTGGGTCCACTATGTAATGCACTGTATACTGTATACTTTGCTGTTGCTCCGTTAGGCTTCTCCTGGGAATACTTGTTGTTCTGTGATCACGCTTTGCGATAGGAGAGTTTGCCAAGTGCGACTTGCAAACCAAAACCTTTTGACCGCGGTGGCTTAGTACGAAATCCTTAGAACAGAGCCCTACCTAAAAAACAGGTTTTACTGCGTTCTTAGGGTCCGGGCCCATCTGGGTCGGCTGGAGGGAGGGTCAACTATCACCCACGGCTTTGCTTCCGAGGCCGAAGCTCGAACTTATTTTGCTGCAGCTGGCCTGCCTTACCCTAGGTCACCATGAGCGAGACCCTGCCTTTTGTATGTGCCGAAGAGGGCTCGGTGGAAATAGTCGAGCTGTCCTGGCCCATGCTGCAAGACCTGGAGATAGACCAGGCTCCCGAGGCTTGCTTGGCTTACGCGGTTATGCGCCGGCCCGGGGGCTTCCTTCTGTGCGTGCCGAGTGGCTTCTTCAGAGCCTCCGACCTGCTTGCCGGACAATCAGCCAACGAGGACAGTGCTCTGATGGGGCCTTCCATCGAATATCTTGTAATTTCGGTGGTGCTGTGAAGACTTTTGACAACATGTACACGCCCCTATTTTCCGGCTAGGTTTTGTAACCACGTGAACCTTTTCCACATGTCATGTGTCAGGAGTGCATATGGCATGGAACCGTACCGCAGGCTCTTAGCTGCTTGGAAAAGACCGTTCTTTTGTTCATGGTAGCGGAGCTGGTCTGTACCAGCTTCGGTCCACGGGGGTTGCGTTTAGGTTTCTGTGTTAGCAGGGGCCATCGATCTGTGAACCTTTAGGACTTTGTTCGGCGAAAGTAGGCGTAGCTCTGCTTGTCGCCATCTCAGCCACGGCCTGCACTTACAACTCAGTTGAAGCTGTGAAAGAGCGTGTGCGGCAACTGTACCTGGAACAGCTTTTGCAGAGACCTCGGCCAGCCGGCCGTACTGGACAAGGCTGGAGTGATATCCTTGCGGGTGTACAGAAAGTTTTCCAGAATCGTTTGGATACTCTGCATAATATCCTGGACGTGCACCGCTTTGCACTTCGAGCGCTGAGAGATACGCACCTCAGAGAGGTGTATATTACTTCTTGTGCAGAGGACGCGGCTGAGTTTGCAGTGCCTAATTCTGTGGTGGAGCAGTTTGTTTTCGCAACTGAAGAGGGAGCCAATTTCGAGAGAGATCTACAATTATTTGATCAGACAACGCAATTTGCAAGTTTGCAGAAGCCTCTCGAGAACCCCATCGATTTGGAGCCCCAGGGTCGCAGAAAGTTTCGCAAGAAGCTGGGAAGTGCGACTTGCCCCGTGGAGATTGACCTTGATTGAGCCCAATACCATTTTACTTTGAACAATGGCAGCGATAGAGACAGACTCCGACGAGGAGCTACCAGCGCTGGAGCCAACGCATCCAGCGAATCCCTTCAGCCCCGTAGCGGCATCCCCTGCAGCTTCAGGGGGCCTGGCCATGACAGCCTCGGACCTTCACATGTTAATGCAGCGCATGTCGGAAGCCACACAGGCAGCGAGTGCAGCAGCCCAGGCGGCTGCAACAGCATCTTCTTCTTCAGGTATGGTCGGGACCAGACCTTTTGGGCTGGGCGACCTTTCGAAAATCATTCCGAAGCCGGAGAGCTTCAAGCCTGCTTCTCGAGAAGAGGAGTACTCTTTGTGGCCAGCATGGAGTTGGTCAATGGAGCAATACCTCGCATGCCTTGACCCAGAGTTTTCGAGTGAGCTTCTTCGTTATACAAAGCAGAGTGAACCTGTGCGTCTTGAGGATATGTCTGATCAAACAAAGGCCAGAGCGAGACTGCTATACGGTGTGCTGAACGGATTGCTCTATGATCGAGGCCGCCGCCTCCTCAGATCCGTTGTCGGTCAAAACGGCTATGAATCCTGGAGATTGCTTTCCCGAGACCTTATGCCTCAGTCTCGCAACAGAGTTCTTGCTTTGCTGCGTACAATTTCAGCATGGCCCGCATTCGATGCCAAGCAGGGCCTATCTCAGCAGCTGGTTCGACTGGAGACTGCTTTCGAGGAGTATGAACGATTGGTTCCTGGAGGTGTGCCAGAGAATCATAAGATGGCTACGCTGCTCGGTTGTTTGTCAGGACAGCTTCGCCAGCATGCAAATGTAGTCGTCACTGACGATAGCAGTTACCATGATCTGAGAGAGCTTGTGCTGCGTTGGGATGGTGCCCAGACACGTTGGTCTTCGAGTGTTGCAATGAGTTACTGTTTGCAAGAAAGTGCCAAAGGCTTGAAACAGGATACTGGAGGTGTTCAGCCCATGGAGGTTGACAGGCTTGCGAAGGGAAAACCAGATGGCAAAGGCAAGCACGGCAAAGGCAAGAACGACAAAGGCAAGCAAGGCAAAGGCAAGCAATGGGACAAGAATGGCAAAGGTGGCAAGCAAGGAAAGTGGCAACAGCAAGGAGGATGGCAACAGCAACAGAGAGACTCGTGGAACAACAACAAAGGCAAGCAAGGCAAAGGCAAGCAAGACAAAGGCAAGCAGGACAAAGGCAAGCACTACAGCTACGACAATTACACTGGCAAAGGCTACGGTGGCAACCAATGGCAGGATCGTCGTGTTCAGCAGGTGCAAGACCAAACAGGTCAGCAGCAGCAGCAAGTGCAGCAGCCATGGCAAGCTCCACCTCAGCCCAGCAACGCTACAGCAGTTCCGAGTTTTAGCAGTGCTGCAAGTCAAGCTTCAACCATGTCAACTGCAGTGCGTCGAGTGTTTGCTGAGCCGTTGGTTGTGGATGTGAGCGATTTGGAGCTGCCTGGAGACTCGTGCATACGCATGCTGCAGTGCCCCGAGTACAGACTCGACTCTTCTGACAACGATGATGATTGGTGCAGGGCGCCTGATCAGCCTGCATTGGTTCTGCAAACGAGCCCTCCGCCAGCTGTTCGAGCAGTGCAGTATTCATCTGATGCTACTGCACAGGCCGTTATAATCGATTCTGGCGCGGATATTTCGTGCCTTCCTCGGTGCTTCGCCTCTGCTGGAAAATATGTTCCCGCCAGGAACCTGCGAGTTCAGGATGCACAAGGCGCAACCATGGCAGTGAGCAAGGAACGCCTCGTTGACTTCATTGTCGAGAGCTCAAACTGCGGCCCAGTGGCTATCAGGGAAAGATGTATAATCGCAGATGTTACACAGCCCTTAATCAGCCTGGGTCGATTGATCAAGAGAGGATGGTTTCCATGTCGTGGAGAGCAAGGATTTTGGCTGAATCACGACGGCTCTGGTGCCGATGTTCCTCTGGGCTTTAAGGGCATGAGTCTTATGGTGCAAGCTTCGATCCGCAGAGTGAGTCAGCCGCCGCCCGAGAACGAGCACAACACAAGTGTGGCCCTCGATCTGCCGCCACGTCATGTGCGAGCTATGTTTACTGCAACGCTGAGTGAGCAAGCAGAGAAACTTCAGTTTGGTTGGCAAATCGGGTCCACAGGCCACATCATCTGGAGAGGAAAGTCCTCTATCATGATTGATCCTTCTTTGGTTGTGGTGAGTGATTGGCCTTACAGGACAACCATCATGCGCAGGTCAGATGATGAAGACTGGCTGGTGGCTGAGACATGTGTGAAGTGGGCGGATCTTGCTGATATTGAGGGCCCAATTCCCGGAGGAGGAGAAGCAGAGCTGATTGTGGTTTTGCATCCGAAGCTTGAGCAGCTCAATGATGTGGGCATCCAGTGCTCAGATGAGGCATCTGCCTTTGTTGAGATGCAGGTTGAGCCGCCTGCCTTGTATGAGGATGATGACGCTGGCGGGGCAGGTGATATCCTGTTCGATCAAGAGCCGGGTGGAGCTGAAGCAGATGAGGTTGTGCCGCAGGATCCCGAAGCGGCAGCAGTTCTTCCTGACATGGAGGAGCCAGAACAGCTACCTCCTCCACCGGCCATCGAGGACAAGCTTGTGCTGGACGGTGTGGAGCTTACTGCACAAAGTACGATTGCTGCCCTAGCAAGTGCATGCGACAGACTTGGCTTGCGACATTCCGGTAGCAAGCGCCGCCTCTACGAGCGCATCAAGGGGTACTTGCAAAAGCAACAGCTTTCTTTGTCTGCTGATATGACTCGTGATGCAGTTGCAAATGCCTCGCGAACTCCTTCTATGCAGTCTATACCGACACCGCCTTCGAGAGCTGAGCAGCTGCTACACGAGCTCACCCACGAGCCGTATGCGGCCTGGTGCCCCAGTTGCATAGCAATGCGAGCGCTTCCGGACCGAAGTGAGCGAACTGTTGATGCTCCGAGGGACATTCCCCGAGTGTCGTTTGATTTCATGTACACTGGTTATGACGAAAGCCAGAACGAAGCTGTGCACAAGCCTGTTGTGGAAGGAGATGATCCCAAAGATCTGCTGTGCTGCTTGGTTTGCCATGATCAGGCAACGTCCTCCATAGCATGTATACCGTGCCCCGGGAAGAGTGCTACGAGATACCTCGGTGTGGAGGTGATGCGCTTCGTGCAGAGCCTAGGGCATCCAACAGTTGAGATTTTCTGTGACAATGAGCCGACGACCATTCGGCTGCAGGATGCTATCTGTGTTGCTAGAAGCCGGTTGGGCTTGAAGACTCTGAAGAAGAACCCTCCGATTGGGAATCATCAGAGCAATGGCGCTGTGGAGCGCACGGTGGACTTGGTCAGACGACTGGCTTGTACACTGTTGGATGTGGTGCGTCGTAAAACTGGTTGTTCGATCACAGTGAAGCACCCTCTGTTTGCATGGAGTTTCAGCCACGCGGCGTGGATCAGGAACCACTTCGCCGTCCAAGGCGGATTGACGCCCTATGAAAGATGCTACTCCACGGCCTACAAAGGAAAGCTCGTGCCTTTCGGAGAACCTGTCTTCGGGCAGATTGTGCCCAAGCGAAAGGGCAATGCCAGGTGGCTGAAGGCCGTCTTTGTCGGCAAAACGCGCAGCAATGATCAATACCTCATTGCAAGCAGGTCCGGCATCCGAACATGCCGGAGTGTGCGCCGCACTGGCCATGAGTGGAGCCAGGACCAAGAGCTGTTCAACAACCTGTCAGGACAGCCTTGGGATTACAGTTCTGGCGTCTATGAGACGCGGCTGGTGCCACCAGCCAAGAACAGAAAGCCTCAAGCCTTACCAGTTCCTGGAAGTCCTCAAGATGAAGCCGCCTGGGACCCGCCAACTCCTGTGCCTTTAGGGTTTAGGCCCCCCGAGAGTGTTGGCTTGGGTTCTAGTGCCGCCACGCCTGCTGCCATGCTTCCTCCCACGCCGGTGGGACCAGGATCGAGCCAAGATGTGCCGGGGCCCGCTGAGGTTCCGAGCAAGCGAGCTAAGTTGCACTTGTCACGGCCTCCGCCCGAGAGTGCAAGAGTTGCTGATGCACCAGTGTTGCCACATGCCGCACCTGGTGTACCGAATCCTTCTTTGAGTATTCCTTTGGGACTTTAAACCCCTGAGTCTGTTCTCGAACCAATGCCTGAGCAGCCTGATGCTGCTATGTTGCCTGCCGAGACGGCAGCAGTGGAAGAACGAGCTTCCAAGATGCCAAGAATTCGTACAGTTACTTTTGGTGATCGCAGTTATGATCTCAACGATGAAGGCTATGATGCTGACTTTGCAGAATGGGAGGACCCTGAGACCTTCCTTCAGATGTCTGATCAATGGTCGGACGATGAGGGCGCCAATGTGGCGCATGCAGAACCCGACTCGGCTTCCTTGAACGAGGCGGGGCAGCCACTTGAAGATTCGTTGTGGTTTAAGGACATGGGCCATGAACCAGTTCTTACTCCTGATGAGTTGTATGCCTTGGACAGGATTGCAGATGAAGTAGAAGTGAGCCGCTTGATCAGGAAAGAGGTTCTTCGGCCGGTCTGTGATCAAGACAATGTTCGAGCAATGAAGAGTTTATCTACTAAGATGGTACGAACATGGCGTCGCAAGCGCCGTGGCGGGGTACCGCATTTTCTCAGAAGATCCAGACTTGTTGCCAGGGAGTTCCGCTGGCTTAAAGAAAAGCAAGGATTGTTTTCACCTTCGACCACAACGAACGTGGTCAAGATCATACCGTTGCTCTTCCTGATATGGAGAATCACTAGACCCGGTGTTACCTACGCCATAGCCTCTATCGATGTAAAGGATGCGTACTTGGAAGTGCCACAGGAGGAGCCGGTGATGGCTGGACTGCCCCAAGACTACATAGGAGCCGGTAAGTTCGTGTTCCTAAAATGTGTGCCTGGTCAGCGTGATGGAGCACAGCGATGGTTCAACCATTATGTCTACTTTCTCAAGTCAAAGATGCCTCTTGAGTCGTGCATTGAGAACCCTGCGATCATGAGAGTCCCTGAGGGACCAATGCTTATGCATGTTGATGACGGACTTACGCTTGGACCGTTGGAATGGCTCAAACAGTCGTACATTCCTGCGTTGAAGACGCGGTTCGAGATTTCTGTCGAGATTGCCTACCAGTTGGGTGACACGTTTTCTTTTCTAAAGCGCAAACACACTATTTTGGAATCTGGTATTCTCATAGAGACACCGGAAACCTACATCAGACACATGGCTTCCATCCTTGGTGTTAAGCACGGATCAAGTCACAACACGCCATATCTTCCCGAGCTGATTCGCGATGATCAGACAGCTGCCCTTTCTGCTGCTGATGGTTCTAAGTTCAGGAGCGCACTTGGAGTTGCATTGTATTTGTCCAACGACAGGATTGACATTTGCTACACTGTGAGACTTCTTGCAGGATTTATGGCTGGGCCTACGGCATTGGCTATGCGTGGCCTGGTTCGCCTCACAAAGTATTTGATGAACACCGCGAGCTATGCTACTTTGATTGCACCAAAGCGCCCAGGATCTTCAGTGTTTCATGAATCACGTGCAGACGACGAGGAGCACTACATGGAGATCTACTCGGACTCTGACTGGAGCGGAAACAAGGTGACCCGGAAGTCCTTCGGTTGTGCGAGCTTTGCAGTGAACGGTGGAGTTTTTCACCACATATGCCGAACGCATCGCACAGTTTCCTTATCTTCCGCAGAGGCAGAATGGTATGCTGGGATATCGTCTTCATGCGAAGGACTGTTCCTGCGAGCTGTTTTTACATTCATGTCGCAAGAGAGTTGCAGTTTGCACCTCAAGATGGACAATTCTGCTGCCCGCCAATTGGCGTTGCGTCAGGGAGTAGGGAACAAGACGAGACACGTTGCAGGTCGCTTGTTATGGCTACAACAAGCTGTTCGTGAAGGTCTCATTACGGTGAGTGCTATCGCCTCGGCATATAACCTCGGAGATCTTTCCACTAAGATGCATGCAGCGAATCGCTTGAAGTGCTTATTGTTTCTGCATGGTGTTGCTGACTGCGACACTGCTCGACCAATCGGCAGTGATGAGTTCGAGGAAATGGTGATGAGAGAATCTGTCAAAGCTCAGGTGAAGCGAGTGCGCATCGAGTACGCGAAGGAGCATGGATGCACGCCCCACCTTTCGGGCAATGCAAACAGGCTTGCAAAGCAGATTGCAATGATGACTCTTTTGGCTATGCCTTATGGCGTTGAAGCTGCGGATGATGGTGGTGGCCACTTTACGCCACGTGTGACTTCGATGTGGATTGCAGCTTTCGGATGTATGCTTCTGCTGTTGTATCGAGCCTTGAGCTGGTTGCGGAATCAGGGCTGCGACTTCAACATGTTGGTCGAGCTCACAACGGCGGATATCGGATCGAGCATGCTTACTGCATTGCTTGTTGCATTCTCAATGATCCCTGAGATGAGTGCTGAGCAGTGGATGATCGTGCTGCTCATTTACATCATCATGCAGCAGCGCCGTGGACCTGAGTCGAGTGTGAAGTTTTCTGCTGCGCATACACGTGTGAGTGCCACTGAGAGTGCTGTGAAGCCGTCTACCGCAAGTAGTTCTGAGAGTGCAAGCGCTGGCATCCCAAGTGAAGTTGTGTACTACTGCTCCGTGAACGGTAATTGCTACCACAAGGAAGGGTGCCATGTTCTTCGTACGGTGCATTCGAAGATTCGGAAGTATCGTCCATGTGTATATTGCGCCGATGCGGACCACAAAGGTTAAAGCATCGTGTACTGTTTGAACAAAAGCCGGATGAGCTTTGCATAGTGCTACAGCTCAGGCGGGGTGAAGACTTTTGACAACATGTACACGCCCCTATTTTCCGGCTAGGTTTTGTAACCACGTGAACCTTTTCCACATGTCATGTGTCAGGAGTGCATATGGCATGGAACCGTACCGCAGGCTCTTAGCTGCTTGGAAAAGACCGTTCTTTTGTTCATGCTGTCAGAAGCGGGCGACTGGGCCCGAGCCGACGATCCGGCTCCCGTGCCTTGCGTGGTTGTCGACCTAGCCTTTCGGGCTGCAGACGCCGTGACTCAGGCCGACCTTGCCGACACCGGTGCCAGGCCCTTCTTGGCGGACCGCCCCGATACCTTCCCCCTTGCCTCCGAGGTCGTTCGAAAATGCCGGAGCTGGGTTGCGGAAGACCTTGCAGGAATAAGAAGCGGCTATCATACGGCTGTGTCCGAAGCACCGGCTCGGGCTGCAAAATTGGGGGCTCGGCCAAAGAAGACCACCGTTGCCCAGCTGGCAGCTCAACAAGAGTCTTTTGCAAAGGCCCTAGCAGGCATCTCAGAACAGCTGGCCCTTCTTGCGAAGCCTCCCTCTGTGGAGCAAGGAGCCGTCGATGGTGGGCCAGCCGCTCCTTTGCCTCGGGCGGCCGCGCCTCCGACTTCAGCCTTGCTGTCGGCCCCAGTGTCAGGAAAGGCCCCCCAGCAAGGCTTCCCGGCAAAGGCCCTGAGCTCTCTGTTAGGCCCTCCTCCTCGTGCAAAGGCTGCCCCGACTCCTGTGATACATCAGCTGGAGGAAGACGATCCCCTCCACTTGGAAACTGGCGGCGCGCAGGAAGCGGGTGGAACAAACACCCCCGTTGCGGAGCCATGCTGCTTCAGAGCCGAGCGCTGGCTCAACTCGTATCTCAGCTCGCTCAGAACGCCGACCCCCTTGCGGACCTTGGAACCCCTGCCTCTACCCTTTCAACAAGGGGCACCAACAGCAGGCAGAGGATGCAGAGCGAGCTTGCGCTCCGAGAAGGACACTTTGCGACCAGGATGCGAGCGGCCGCCCTCAGGCGTATGGCCCCCACTGCCTTGGAGCCGGCCATGCACCAGGAGGGCCTGATGACTCGTTACCTCGAGAGGTTCGGAGGCTACCAAGGCCAGCAGCTGGTTGGGTTGCTGCAGTGGCAGCTAGCCCAAATTTCGGATATGCTAGCAGCGGACAGCCCGCAAGGCGCCGCGGATCTGGCTGCCCAGGCCATGATAATGCTGGAGCAGGTAGCGGTCGACCGTGGCCGCCACGAGCTTGGGTGGCTCTTCACTCTTCAACCAGATCCGCCTGTGAGCTTGTTCGCCACCCACCAGGCTACTCCGACAGCAGCCTTAAGACCTTTCGCCCCCCTCGCCGATGCAAAGCTGGTCTCCTGCACCATAGCCTTCATGAAAGAGTTGGACACCTTGTCGGCGAAGCGCTTGGAACTGAGCGGAGCAAAGGGAAAGCCGCCCCCTGCTCCGCCTCCCACCGACGACGGTGGTACTCCCGAGCCTCCGCTTTCAAAGAAGCAGCAGAGGGCTCGTGCCTGGGCAGCGGCGAAGAAAGCAGCCCAACCTTAGAGCATGCCCAGCCTAATTCAGCAGCCCCTCTCCCCTCCCGTTCCCGACACCTGCCGGAACGTGCTTCCTGTGAGGGGGGGGGAGCCACGACATCACGCACCACCAGCCAGGGAGACACCCGTCTCTTTTGAAGACGATGCACTCTCCTGTGCCCACGGCTCTGCACCACGACCGGGCTCTGCTTCGTCAGTCGCCCCGACACCTCGGCCGAAAGAGGAAGCTGGGCGATGTACCGCCTCCTCTGCCACGCCTGGTTTTTCTGATAAGATTGACTTTTGGGCCTGGGCCGCAGCTTTGCCTCGGCTGCTTTTGGCCACCAAGACCGCCTTTGCTCGGTTCTTTGCAGGCACCATGCACCTCCGCAGGGAAGATCATTCCCCCTCTGCCGCTCTTTTTCCTCTACCTCTGCCCCGACCGGGGGCGTTTGGCAGAGAAGACTCTGGGCATGCTAAGGTTAGTCGCCAGGTCTTGCTTGATCGAGTTCTCCATATATGCGTTATGGCCTTGAACTTCATGCACTCCAACCTGCGACCTATCCCGGCACATGTCCTGCAGAAGCCTCCCTCCCCCTGCCAATCCAATGTGTTTGTGCGCTTGGAGCTTCTGATAAGAGCGTGTTCCCGAGCCACCGACTCCCTCGACTGCGTTCCTGTATGCGCCGGCCGGCGCGGAGCGCACTTGGTCGCGAGGCTCAGCGAGCTTTCCGCCCACATTGCGCGACTTGGCCTGCAGGGCTCACCTTATCCCGGCAGTGCAAAGCTCGGCCATGTCGGCCACCGTGACGACGGGCCTCCTTCTCTCCGGCCCTACCGAGACAGCGATGCAAGCCGCATCCTTATCAAGGGTACAGGCTCTTGGGACCTTAGCGGCACCTCCTCTTCGATCCCGAACTTTTCTTGCCTTTTCGGGACCCTCTTGTGCTAACGGGCATTCCCGAGAACGACCTTCCCTACCCTGATGCCGCGGCCACTGCCAAGGAGACCATTTTGCCCCTTGTGCGCTTGTGGGATCAGAAAGGGCTCTTCCGGCTCTTTCCTGGCCCGAGGCACCCGAGGCAGCTTTGCAGGACCTTTGGTGCATATAAGTCGGACCAGCACGACAGACTCATAGGGGACCGACGTGGGCCTAACAGTCGTGAAGGCCGGGTCCTTGGACCCTCCCGCAGGCTGCCCCCTGGCAGCCTCTTGACTCAGGTTAGCGTGTCGCGTTTTACTTCTGTTCTGGTCGGGGCCTCCACCGACAGGGCCGACTTTTACCACCAAGCCCTTATAAGTGACGCACGCGCGGCTTCGAACTGCATCGGGCCCCCGCTTTCTGTTGAAGACCTCCAGGGCACTGCTGCCCTCGCCCGCCTTCTCAAGCCGCCCCTGAAGCGGAAGTGTTCCCTGCTTGCTGGGCTTCACGACAGGTCCCGCTTTTATGCTGCCTTCGGGACCCTGTTCCAAGGGGACCACGGAGGGGTCGAGTACGCGACTTCAGCCCATCAGGCGTTGCTTCGCGAGCATGGGCTCCTGCATCCCGGCTCCCGCCTCCTTGGGCAACACGCCGTGCCGCGCACCCCGTGCTACGAGGCTTTAGTCATTGATGATTATTTTAGCCTCTCCGTCGAGTGCCTCGATGACTTTGCCGAGTGTCCTTCCGAGGCCCTTCCACAGAAACTTCTCCAGGCCGAGTCGACGCAGAGGGTCCTTACCCAAGCCGCGTATGCTTCCGAAGATGTGCAAGGCTCCCCTGCTAAGGACCTGCTTGGAGCCCTCACCTACCAGGTTGCCGGCGCCTACGTTGACTCCTCCGTGCAATCTGTTCGTGAGGGGCAGATCCTTGTTGGAGCGCCGCCAGGCAAACGCCTCGCCCTCGCGTTCCTGTCTCTAAAAGCCTCCCCGCTGCCGGGCATTTCGAAGGAACTTGCTGCTGCCTTCTCTGGCTCCTGGACTTCTGCTCTGCTCTTCCGGAAGCCCCTTGCAGCCTGCCTCGGTTCCTTCTTCAAACTCGGCCTTGGCCACGTGTCTGGCCACCCCGGGTCCGACGTCGTCCCACTCTCTAGGACCCAAGCTCAGGAGCTTGTGCTCCTTGCGGTCCTTTCTCCCATCGCTGTGTCCAATGTTGCCCTGCCTCATTCCAAAAGGATCTTTTGCACTGACGCCTCACTGAAGAAAGGGGCTGTTGTCAGCGCTCGCGTCTCGCGGCCTGTTGCTGAGGCTCTGTGGGCCCATGCCAGCCGACGGGGCCAGTACACTCTGCTGTCCGGGACTACTTCTGCCCTGGATCCTACCGACGCCTGCCCGAGCACCGCTCCTTCCTGGGGCCTTACTGGCCGAGGTCCCGCGACTGAGAGCACCCTCGAGTCTCCTGTTGGGACCTGCCTTGCCGACCCCCGTACCCGGCCTCTTGGTCTTGATTTTGACTTCCTAGAGGTTGGATGCTCTGCTGGTGCTCCCGCTGCCGCGAGGGATTTAGGACTTAAGGTTGGGCCGAGCTTTCATACCAGCTCCTCGCCTGAGCTTGCCGCTGATGATCCTCAGGTCCTTGACCTTCTTCTTCATCTTATCGCAAACGGCCGCCTTCGCTCACTCCTCTGCATGCTGTGTCCCTCCTGGGGCTTTCCCCTGGATCTCCCACCGGGATCGGTCGCTTCGGAAACAAGCAGACACGTCGGGAAAGAAGGAACGCCGCGCTCTCCGTGCCCTTGTTCTGCTCAGGACCTGTGCCTCCTACGGTGTGCCCTGCATCCTGGTTCACCAGCGTAAGTCCGGGATCTGCCGGCACCCATCCTTCCTTCGATGCCTCGAGCTGCAGACGGCAACCTCTGGGAGCTATCGTGGCTGTGTTTTCGGCGGGCCCGGGACCTCAGACCTTGGCTGGGTTGCTGTTTGGACTCCCACCCCCGGCCTTGATCGCAAGTGCACCTGCAAGTTCCACGAAAAAGGGAATGATCGTTCTGTGTTCCCTTCTTTCTCTTCCGAAGGTGCTCGGGCTATTGTTTCCTGTCTCTGGGCCGGAGCTCAACTTGTCGAGCCTTCCGAGGAGCCCGCCTGTGGGCTTGAAAGTGCCTTGGTTAACGATGTCCTCTTGACTTCCAGGTGGCGGGCCGATAGGACCTGGCGGTGGCGGCAGCGGCGGCACATCAACGTGCTTGAGTCTGAAGCCGCTCTTCAGCTTTACAAGGACCTCGTTGTCCACGGAGGCGACCTGCGTTTTAGCCTCCTCACTGATTCCAGTGTTGTCCTCGGCTCCCACAGAAAGGGCCGGTCCACTGCGTTTCTCCTCGCGCCATCGCTGCGCCGGGCTTCTGCGATCCTTCTCGCCGGGGGCTTGTATCCCTCTTTGCAGTTCGCCCCCACCAGGCTGAACCCGGCTGACGACCGACACGTGACAAGCGTTGCCGCGAAGCGTGCGGGGTCCCTCTGCATGAGACGGTTGACCCCTGGTCCCTTGCTGGCTTCAGCCACCTGTCAAGAGCCCGCGCCAATTGGGTCAGGCTGTTCCTTCTGGTTGGCTCTCCTCGGCCGTCCTCTCCTGCATCACGCCTGCGGGCTCTCTGGAACTTTCCTCGAGACTCCCGCTTTTACTGCAGGTGTTTCTCTGCCTTCTCGACTTTGACTCCACCCTCGGCTTCCCAGGCGAAGGCCCGAGCCTCCTTTGGATTTTCCTCACCTTTTGGATTTATGGAGGCCCTCGCTCTGTGTTCGGCGTTCTCGCTCCCAGAAACGCCGCCGACCTTCTGCGCCAACGCGGACGTGCTCCTGGCCTCCTTCCCTCTGGTCGACCGGTTCAACCTAGGACTAAGGCTAATAGGGGCCCCCTGACCGCAGCCTTTTCGCAATGGCTTTCTGAGGTGCTTCTGTGGAGGGCCGACCTGGCGAAGCCAGAATTGCTTGTGTTTTGCGGGCCTTAAAATGGGGTCGCCCGACAGCCCCATAACTGTGCAGCTTTGAGATCGTACAAAGACAGGGAATTTTTCCAGAGGTGACTCTAGCATCTCTGAACAGAGCAGATCAAGCCATGCCATGCAGAGTTATGGTATCGAGAAGGTCGGCCGGAACAGATCATACAAGAGCGGCGGAATTTTCTGGAAGGCATCTCCACCAGATCTGAACAGGACTTCTTGAGCTGTGTAGAGTTATGGTATCGAGAGGTGCGGCTGACGGTTCGGAATTTGTGCACGGTGCTTAACTCCAAAACCCCTCATGCACGACATGGGCTCACCTGGCTCTTGCCAGATTTTTTTTGCTCTTTTAGCAGAGACCCATTTGTAACATTCCTTGCCTCTGCCTTGCTTCTGGTTGCATTTGCTGTTGCTGGAACGGCTGTTGCGTCCCCTCAAACAGTCCGAACTGCACTTTTCGCTGCCGGAAGTTGCGCCTCTACTTCAATTTCTTTTTGCTCTCTGAGTCTGTGCGAGCGTCAAATCGGGTTTTTTTTAAAAAAAAACTTTTGCAAGCAAACACCATTCTTTCCAATGCTTGGATTAGAAGATGATTGTGGCTACATCTTAATAAAAGGTATCAAGACCAATGAATTGCTTTTTTGGTTGCGTGTCTCTTTGCGCAGGTTGCATCCGCTGTCACAAACATCGGTCTTCGGAGGTCTTGCGCCTCAGCACGGACGCACAACATCGCAACAGGCGCTTCAAGGGACTTTGTTGCTCAGCAAATTCCACCACATCTCTGCGCAACACAGACCCGTGCCACCCCTCCGCAACACAGGTCCGTGTATTTTCTGATTTCGGACAGGATTCTGCGCCTGTTTGGAAAAAGTGTCATTTGATCTTTGGTGTTTTTCGGTCTGCCTCAAATGTTAGAAGTGCTTTTGAATCAGATTAGTGACCGCACTCGTTCTGTCTCGTTTCGTTTTGCTTCGAATGTTTTCAGCTCAAGTGAAAGATGCACACTCTGTTTTTCTTGGAAGCGGACTTCGGCCTCGCCTGTGTAAGGTAGAAGTTAAGAGTTCTTCTGGAAGGCACCTGTGCCAAGAAAGCATCAAAGTTACCTGTTTGGACCAGATCCTATTTGTCCGAAAAGTCTGCCTGCAGCTCAAAGGTGGAAGTGTTCTAGCTGCTGTGTCTGGAACACCTGTTCGGCCACCAGTGCCGCCGATGTCCACTTTGGATGCGGACCAACTGCAGCACACGCGGCTCCAATTGTGGGGTCGAACAAGCTAAGCAATTTGGCTTCGCTTGAGTGGCTCCCCTCTGTTCTCTCATGTCTTTCACTTCCACAGGCAAGCTGTCTGTTGGAAATTCTTGTTCTTGGAGAATGATTTTTCCACACTGGATGCCTGCCTGTGGGCGAGTCGCCTTGATGTAGCAGTGTGTGTGGAATGCACGGGCTTGGCTTGGGCCCCAACATGCGAAATTCGCGACCCCAAAACAGGGGCCGCCAAGCGGCCCCGATTTTGGGGTCCTCTAGTTGCCAGTCAAAATATGTTAAAGGAGGTTGGCTGCATTTCGCGGCTCCTTTTCTGGGGCCGCGAGACGGCCCCATTTTTGGGGTCGCAAGTTTGATTCCTGCACCCACAGCGGCTGAATCTCGTCAGCTGTGCATGTCATTGATTGTATTGACTTTGGGGAGCGTCTGGTGGAGGACCGTTTGGAAGGTCGGAACTTGTCCAAAGCAGCTGTGTTGCTTGCCCTTAATGGTGCTGCAGCCAGCGGAGTGCAACTGTGGAGGGCCGACCTGGCGAAGCCAGAATTGCTTGTGTTTTGCGGGCCTTAAAATGGGGTCGCCCGACAGCCCCATAACTGTGCAGCTTTGAGATCGTACAAAGACAGGGAATTTTTCCAGAGGTGACTCTAGCATCTCTGAACAGAGCAGATCAAGCCATGCCATGCAGAGTTATGGTATCGAGAAGGTCGGCCGGAACAGATCATACAAGAGCGGCGGAATTTTCTGGAAGGCATCTCCACCAGATCTGAACAGGACTTCTTGAGCTGTGTAGAGTTATGGTATCGAGAGGTGCGGCTGACGGTTCGGAATTTGTGCACGGTGCTTAACTCCAAAACCCCTCATGCACGACATGGGCTCACCTGGCTCTTGCCAGATTTTTTTTTGCTCTTTTAGCAGAGACCCATTTGTAACATTCCTTGCCTCTGCCTTGCTTCTGGTTGCATTTGCTGTTGCTGGAACGGCTGTTGCGTCCCCTCAAACAGTCCGAACTGCACTTTTCGCTGCCGGAAGTTGCGCCTCTACTTCAATTTCTTTTTGCTCTCTGAGTCTGTGCGAGCGTCAAATCGGGTTTTTTTTAAAAAAAACTTTTGCAAGCAAACACCATTCTTTCCAATGCTTGGATTAGAAGATGATTGTGGCTACATCTTAATAAAAGGTATCAAGACCAATGAATTGCTTTTTTGGTTGCGTGTCTCTTTGCGCAGGTTGCATCCGCTGTCACAAACCTCGGTCTTCGGAGGTCTTGCGCCTCAGCACGGACGCACAACATCGCAACAGGCGCTTCAAGGGACTTTGTTGCTCAGCAAATTCCACCACATCTCTGCGCAACACAGACCCGTGCCACCCCTCCGCAACACAGGTCCGTGTATTTTCTGATTTCGGACAGGATTCTGCGCCTGTTTGGAAAAAGTGTCATTTGATCTTTGGTGTTTTTCGGTCTGCCTCAAATGTTAGAAGTGTTTTTGAATCAGATTAGTGACCGCACTCGTTCTGTCTCGTTTCGTGTTGCTTCGAATGTTTTCAGCTCAAGTGAAAGATGCACACTCTGTTTTTCTTGGAAGCGGACTTCGGCCTCGCCTGTGTAAGGTAGAAGTTAAGAGTTCTTCTGGAAGGCACCTGTGCCAAGAAAGCATCAAAGTTACCTGTTTGGACCAGATCCTATTTGTCCGAAAAGTCCGCCTGCAGCTCAAAGGTGGAAGTGTTCTAGCTGCTGTGTCTGGAACACCTGTTGCGCCACCAGTGCCGCCGATGTCCACTTTGGATGCGGACCAACTGCAGCACACGCGGCTCCAATTGTGGGGTCGAACAAGCTAAGCAATTTGGCTTCGCTTGAGTGGCCCCCCTCTGTTGGTGCTACCCTGGAACAGCTGCTGCAGAGGAGGCCTTTTGACCACGAAGCTTTCTGCGAATACCTTGTTGCCTTCGGCAATGACCTCTACGCTTCTGGAAGACCTTATTGGCATTTCGCTGAAACTATCAATTCTTTGACCTCCCTAAAGCCTTCACTCCGACGTCAAGTTCAGGGAGCCTGGGACCTCGCTTATACGTGGCTGGCAGAGGAACCGTATGTGCACCATACTGCTATGCCGGCTCAGGTCCTCGTCGCTGTCCTTAGCACTTGCCTTTTGTGGGGCTGGATCAAGGAGGCCGGGATTTTCGCGCTCTGCTGGGGAGCGCTTCTTCGTGCTGGCGAAGCTGTAAAGGCTACAAGGAGGGATGTCGTCTTCCCCTCCGACGCCCTCTGGGGTCAAACCTATGTCCTCATTAAGATCCAGGAGCCGAAGACTCGTGGCCGAGCTGCCCGTCACCAAAGCGCCAAGCTGGAACCGTACGACCTCATTGAGGTCTGCCGACTCGCCTTTGAAGCCCTACCAAAAGGCGCAAAGCTTGGGCCGATGACTCCGCAGACTCTGCGCCGCCGCCTTTACGATGTCTTGACGCGGCTTGGGATGCCAAGGTCTGGTGGGAGCGAGCGCCCTCTAGACCTTGGGTCCCTTAGACCTGGTGGTGCCACTTATTTGCTCCAACAAACTGAGGACTCCGAGCTTGTCAGAAGACGAGGCCGCTGGATATCTCACCGTGTCATGGAGATCTACCTGCAGGAGGTCAGTGCGTCTACTTTTCTGGCAGACTTGGCGCCGACCGCTCGCGAGCTAGTTCTTGCGGCGTCCTCGGCTTTCCCCGACCTTTTGCGAAAGGCACGCGATTGGACGAGAGCAGGTATTCCTCCTGCCGTATGGTTTTCCCTTTGGCCTCATCTCTGAATGTGCACCTGGTGACTGAATATTCTGGGGGCTTTTGGGCCTTCTTTATTTCTCCGCCTTGCTGATGTACAATTCCAGCGCAGGGCATGTCACCAGGAAGCAATTCCATCGGAGGAAAAGATTGAGTGCGAGCTTCTGGACATTAGAAGCGAGCCACGATATGTTTGAACGGGGCTCAAGAACCCGCCCGACCCTCCCGAGAGATCGCCAACAGGGCCTTCTTTATTTCTCCGCCTTGCTGATGTACAATTCCAGCGCAGGGCATGTCACCAGGAAGCAATTCCATCGGAGGAAAAGATTGAGTGCGAGCTTCTGATCATTTTCGCTGGCATTTGCAAGGCAAAACCCAAAATCGTAACGTGCTTCGCGCGTGCAAAAAAAGACTCTCCAATATTTCTCTGGCGCACGAAGCACGTTACGATTTCGAGTTTTCCCTTGCAAAGGCCAGCCAATTCGACCGTAACGCGCCTAAAGCACGTTACGATTGGGCGCCGTGCTACTGTAAAACACCAGATTTCGCTATCACACAGGCCTGGAACTGTGGAAACAGTGCGATTTCTACGCAAGATGCTGCTAGAGCAGGGCTGGACCTGTGAAAATAATGCAACCTCGATGGAAGATGTGCGCCGCACCGCTAAGGAATGCCATACTTTCGCCGTCAAACATGCCTGGGACTAGAATGACTAGAAGCGAATTGTGGGACCGCCGTGCAGATTGTTTGTGGGCTCGGCGAGTAAACCGGAAGTGAAAGCATCAGACGTGTTGCTGTGTGGTCGTCACCCAAAGACTGAAACCAAGAAACCTGTCTGGTGGGCTCCGAGGCATGCAAACTGGAAGTGAAAGCATCAGACGTGCGTTTATGTGGTTTTTCACCCAACCTGGAACCCAGAGACCATGTTTTCAGTCAATGTGTAGAGTGTAGAAGTTTCTTGGAGTCGGTCTTCTTGCTTCCGAGGGCCCTGACGGACGCACTTTCTTCTCCTTCCACATTGAGGGGCGTCTGGCACGTTACGATCTGCGCGTCTCAGTTTCCAGTTCAATTTTCGGAACCTCGGACAACTGAGTGATCGAGTGAGCGCGGCAAGGTGTGTGTGTGTGTGTGTGTGTGTGTGAGTACGTGCAGGGGGAATGACTTTGGCAGCTATGCAGCTCGGCGGTTCTGTACAAAGCCCCGGAAGCACCTGCAAGAGCTTTTGCCGGGCTTATTGTCCTGTTTGCCATGCTTTGAATTGAGCTGGAATGTGTCCCCTGGTTTTGGGTCCGAAAAATGGGTATGGTTTGGGGTCCGCAGGGGGTGGCCTCCCCAGTTGCATGCAATTGGTAAGACTACATGTGCCAAGTTCAACTTGCCTGTTGAAAGCCAATGTGTGTTCAAAACAAGCAGTAACTGGGTGCTTCACTTGTCCAGCTGCATCTAGAGAAGAACTGGTGGCATTGGACGGGATTTCTCGATCCGTGTCCAGTTTGCGACTCCAAGAACGAGCTCGAGAGTGGTTCTCCGGCACCAAAATGCGGGCCCAAAAACGGGCCCGTTTTCTGAGCCTTCGGTAATTGTGCCAGTACTAGCAGGCTCCAGAAACAGGCCCGGATTCCGGGCCCATTTTTGGCCCCGCTTTTCACCCTTTCTGGATGCAGGTTTGACAAAATGTTGCAAGCAGGTAATTGCTGTGAAGGTCACAATCTTTCACAGTTTCTCTCTGGTTTACGCAGCCAACGTGGCAGCTTGAGCTGCTGTAGGCAGAATTGAGAGACAACGACAGCAACAATGTTGTGCAGCTATGCAATTGATCAAACGAAGCAAAATAATCCGGCACTGGGGCGGCCAGGTGTGAAAGCCGCTGTTTTTGATTGGGTTTTGCGTCCCAAAAACGGCCCCGAAGATTTTACAGGTGAACCCAACTTTCTATGCCGCGTTTGCGACACTTGGCAAACCAGGCAGTGCCTGCAGAGCAGCTGAAAGCAATCAAAAAAGCTCGCCAAGATGCCAGCAATCCGGCTTTGGAGCTCTCGACATTTCGCAGCAGGATCGTGAACTCGGCTTCTCCGAACAATAGAACCAACCAGAAGAGGTCGGGAAAATGCGATTTTTTATGGAAAGTGCGCATTGCGCCACAGCAGGAGACGCAGAACAGAACGGTTCTAAGCGTTTTACAGTAGCGCGGCGCGCATTCATAACGTGCTTTAGGCACGTTATGATCATTTTCGCTGGCATTTGCAAGGCAAAACCCAAAATCGTAACGTGCTTCGCGCGTGCAAAAAAAGACTCTCCAATATTTCTCTGGCGCACGAAGCACGTTACGATTTCGAGTTTTCCCTTGCAAAGGCCAGCCAATTCGACCGTAACGCGCCTAAAGCACGTTACGATTGGGCGCCGTGCTACTGTAAAACACCAGATTTCGCTATCACACAGGCCTGGAACTGTGGAAACAGTGCGATTTCTACGCAAGATGCTGCTAGAGCAGGGCTGGACCTGTGAAAATAATGCAACCTCGATGGAAGATGTGCGCCGCACCACTAAGGAATGCCATACTTTCGCCGTCAAACATGCCTGGGACTAGAAGCGAATTGTGGGACCGCCGTGCAGATTGTTTGTGGGCTCGGCGAGTAAACCGGAAGTGAAAGCATCAGACGTGTTGCTGTGTGGTCGTCACCCAAAGACTGAAACCAAGAAACCTGTCTGGTGGGCTCCGAGGCATGCAAACTGGAAGTGAAAGCATCAGACGTGCGTTTATGTGGTTTTTCACCCAACCTGGAACCCAGAGACCATGTTTTCAGTCAATGTGTAGAGTGTAGAAGTTTCTTGGAGTCGGTCTTCTTGCTTCCGAGGGCCCTGACGGACGCACTTTCTTTTCCTTCCACATTGAGGGGCGTCTGGCACGTTACGATCTGCACGTCTCAGTTTCCAGTTCAATTTTCGGAACCTCGGACAACTGAGTGATCGAGTGAGCGCGGCAAGGTGTGTGTGTGTGTGAGTACGTGCAGGGGGAATGACTTTGGCAGCCATGCAGCTCGGCGGTTCTGTACAAAGCCCCGGAAGCACCTGCAAGAGCTTTTGCCGGGCTTATTGTCCTGTTTGCCATGCTTTGAATTGAGCTGGAATGTGTCCCCTGGTTTTGGGTCCGAAAAATGGGTATGGTTTGGGGTCCGCAGGGGGTGGCCTCCCCAGTTGCATGCAATTGGTAAGACTACATGTGCCAAGTTCAACTTGCCTGTTGAAAGCCAATGTGTGTTCAAAACAAGCAGTAACTGGGTGCTTCACTTGTCCAGCTGCATCTAGAGAAGAACTGGTGGCATTGGACGGGATTTCTCGATCCGTGTCCAGTTTGCGACTCCAAGAACGAGCTCGAGAGTGGTTCTCCGGCACCAAAATGCGGGCCCAAAAACGGGCCCGTTTTCTGAGCCTTCGGTAATTGTGCCAGTTCTAGCAGGCTCCAGAAACAGGCCCGGATTCCGGGCCCATTTTTGGCCCCGCTTTTCACCCTTTCTGGATGCAGGTTTGACAAAATGTTGCAAGCAGGTAATTGCTGTGAAGGTCACAATCTTTCACAGTTTCTCTCTTGTTTACGCAGCCAACGTGGCAGCTTGAGCTGCTGTAGGCAGAATTGAGAGACAACGACAGCAACAATGTTGTGCAGCTATGCAATTGATCAAACGAAGCAAAATAATCCGGCACTGTAACCCAGGTTTGAACCCAGGTTTGTGGAACCCGGGTTTAAGGAACCCGGGTGTAAGGAACCCAGGTTTAACCCAGGTTCAAACCCAGGTTACCAGGTTCCCAGGTTTGAAACCCCAGGTTCTAACCCAGGTTTAAACCCAGGTTTGAACCCAGTTTGAAACCCAGGTTCGAGCCCAGGTTTGGAACCCAAGTTTACAGCACCCAGGTTTAACCCAGGTTCAAAACCCAACCCAGGTTTGAAACCCAGGTTCTATCCCAGATTTGGAACCCAGGTTTAAAACCCAGATTTAAACCCAGGTTGTAACCCAGGTTTGAGACCCAGGTTCTAACCCAGGTGTGGAACCCAAGTTTGAAGCACCCAGGTTTAACCCTGCAAACCCAGGTAAAAACCCAGGTTCAAACCCAGGTTACCCAGGAGGGATTCAAGGCAGGCCTAGGATTGGTTTGAAGAAAGGCTCAAGGGAGGCCTGAGGAAAAGACCTGAAGGAGGACCTTCTTCGACACGAAATCGCTCAAAGTAGTTTGAAAAGCGAATTTCAGAAGTAGAAACAAAATCAGAGACACACAAAGGCCGCATAAAAGCGTTCAGCGAAGCTCGTCTTGAAAGCTCAATGGTGGGGCTGCGCCCCCCAATTTCCCCCAACCCCCCCGCTTTTTGTAAATTGCAAACTCCCCGCGCCCTTTGAAGCCGCCACCTTTTGCCTTCAACTCCAAACCCAAACCATACAAAGTGAATTTTCAAAAAGAACGTGAACAGACGACTTTCAACACAACAGCAGATGCCACACGAAATCGCCTAAGATGGTTCAAAAGGGAAGAAAAAACATGCCCAGGGGCTGCGCCCCCCCAACCCCCGCTTTTGTTCATTGCAAACTCTCCGCGGCTTCAACTCCCAACCGTTCTTCAACACAAAAGCACATGCCACGCGATATCGCTTGCGGGTCCAGAGCAGAAACATGAAAATGAAAGAGACACACAAAGGCCGCACAGCATCGAGCCCAGCTGCATCTACGGGGGCCGGATAAAACGCTGACTGGGCGACGCGGACAATCCATGACGGCCAGCTGTTTCTTCCGGGTCTTTGACACGCTCAACCCCTATGCGGTTACACTTGATGACGAGGATGGTTGTAAGCTCTCCTTGTATGGATTGCGGGCATACGGGGGGAAGGCGACGGTACTCTATGATGGCTTCGAGGACACGAGGTTCCGTGGCAGGCAATATCATAATCCTCTGTTCATGTAACCAGATCGGAACCTCCAATCAGGCATCCTACGAAAGCTCTCCCACGTTCCAGGTCATCACTCTGAGTCTCGCTCCTTTC